ACCACAAAGAGAGTTGAGTTCAGAATTATCATCATTACCTTCTGCAGAAAATATTTGTACAAAAACGAATCCACTGCCAGAACAATTCACTAAAGAACCTGTATCACTGCAAGAAACGCCAATGGGAGATGACATTAGACAAGTTGTTACTAGTGCTTCATCGAACAGATCAAAAGATTCAGTACAAATTCAAAATATTATGGTCCTAAATCATTCGGATGATGGTGTATCTTCTTTGAGATCACAAGTGAAAAATATACAGACTGCTACAAAGACAAATGTATACCGGGATTTAAAAACGTGGATATTAAGTCAGCACCAACGTGATCGCATGAAAGAACTGTTGTCAAGTTCTCTATGCCATTCGTCTAATTCAGAAAAACACTCTGAAGGTGCATTATGCACTAAACAAATAACCAGCAGTACGATCAGGACTATGCACACACAAGAAAATGTAAACCATTCATGTGAGCCTCCAACTCCAATACAGACAGACAGCAAATCAACAAATACCTGGCACAACCAGTTAGCACAACGGTCATCAAAACAACCAATAGCTAGAACTCTTCAATTAGACCATAGTTTAGCATCAATTAACCAAAATCAACAAAAGGTAAGATTATACAAACCAACTTTTAAATTCTGCAGCAAAAAAAAAATCAAAGAAAAAGGGTTTCAGGTTTCAATAGTAAAACAACTTTAATTTCAAACGGTAATTTTGAACTGAGCAGCTCTTAAACGACTCAACAATAAATTATCGAATCATTTTTAAACTAATGCACCAGTGAATTCAGATAGTTCTCTTAAGAACTGTTCAGTCTATGTTTAGAATGTTCAATAGTTGTTATTTACCTGTACTAATCACCAACATACTGAACAGTCTGAAAAGCAACTGAACAATACTGAATTGACTGCAAGCAAATTGTCTGAACAGTTCTGAATTCAATGCATTAGATTAATCTGATAATTGATTAGACTATTTACCAGATTTGTAATAACATAAGCAACACGACGGGTGCCACATGTGGAGCAGGATCTGCTTACCCTTCCGGAGCACCTGAGATCACCCCCAGTTTTTGGTGGGGTTCGTGTTGCTTAGTCTTTAGTCTTTAGTTTTCTATGTTGTGTCATCTGTACTTTTATTTGTCTGTTTGTCTTTTTATTTTTGGCCATGGCGTTGTCAGTTTGTTTTCGATCTATGAGTTTGACTGTCCCTCTGGTATCTTTCGTCCCTCTTTGACTTAAACACTGAATATGACTTAATAATTTATCTGTAAGACTTTCTAGATGGTGTTATGGTCAAAATTACCATAAAAGACTAAAACACATTTACTAGTGAATTATTTTTGCTCACAATCCATACAGAAAAAAAAAGATTTTCAGAATAATCTTTAGGAAAATTCATATTTAAACATATGACTCATAAAATTATGTTATTCATTATATCAAATATGGAGACATAGTTTTAGTTGAAGTGTTCCATTCGTAAAACATTAAACACTTAGGAAAATGAATTGCCAGTGGAGAAGAAACTGCTTAACCTTTTGGAAGACTGGAGTTTATCTGGGTTTTTCTTTCTTTTGTTCATGGTATTGTCTCTGTTGTCTACTGGTTTTGGCTTGTCCCATATGTATGTTCTCCCTTTTAGCTAGCTATAAAACCAGGTTTAATCCACCATTTTAAACATAAGGAAATGCCTGTACCAAGTCAGGAATATGACAGTTGTTTTCCATTTGTTTGATGTGTTTGAGCTTTTGATTTTGCCATTTGATAAGGGACTTTCCTATTTGAAATTTCCTTGGAGTTTGGTATTTTTGTTATTTTACTTTTTATGAGTACGTAAACAACACAAATGTATGATGTTTTACGAAATGAAGTTAATACCTGATCTATTTTCTTACAAAAAAGTAGAAATAGCAAACACTCAAATAATTTGTAGGTTTTATTACTCCTTTTGTTTCAAGACAGTACATGAAAAAAGTTGTTGGCACAACCAACAAATGCTCCTCAATCAGTAAAATGACAGAACAGTGAAAATTAAACTTCAGGCCTGCATTTTTTGGTAGATAGTAATGCAAACAAAGTAAAATGATCATAGCTAAAATTTATAAATAATATTGAAAAATAGAATTATACCTTAAATTAAAGACTGGCGATGTCAGTTTATTTCATGTGATAAGGACGTTTATTTTTAAAGAACATATTGGAATTTTACTACGGTTGCAAAATTTATGTTTGCAGAACCAAGACATAAAACCTACATTTTGTACTGTATTCTGTCAAGGATCTTTTCTTTCTGTTATTTGCACTATAAAGTGCAAAACTAATTTATAGTATAATGATGTGGGGTGGGTGAGCTGGGAAAAGTGATTACCTACTTTGTGTTACCAACGTCTCCTACAGTTTAAAAAAAAAAAAAAACAGAAATACTGAATTCCAAAGAAAATTCAAATCAAAGTGCTTTTAGGCACTGAAGGGTAAAGATTGCTATCATTTTGCAATTTTGTGAATTTAAAATAAAACATTGAATTGTAATTATATAGGCAAATTATAAATTTGAGATGGAGTTATCTTCATTTGTTCATGATTGTACATTTGTAGTTGAATCTATTTCTGTAACAGATTCATACACCATGAATTACTCATGTAATTTTCAATAAAACAAAGTTTTCTAGACAAGTATGGTAATTCAATACATACACATCATATTGTAACTTGAATATCTAAGTATAACATATCATTAATAAATTGAAGGACATTGACTGGATAAGTGAAAAGCAACTGGCATATTCCTAAGTTGGTACATGAATTTTCCGAAGAAAACTGTTGGTTAAACCTGGATTTATAGCTTGAGATCCGAAGGATACCAAATGGACATTCAGACTCATAAGTTGAAAATAAACTGACATTGCCATGGCTAAAAAAGAAAGACAAACAAACAAAAGTACACAAAACACAACATAGAAAAAAGATGGTACAATTTTGTGTAATCAACTCCTCCTTCAGTTTAAGGTAGCTGGGGTGTCTTCCTCCATTTTTGATTTTAAATTGCAGATAACAATCGATCAAGATCTTTAATGAAATGTGCAAATTTCAAGAGTAGTATCTAATTCATGTGTAAGACTTTTCATGTTAATATAGAAAATTATGTGTTTTCTCATATTTATGGCTTTATTTTACAAAAAAACAGAATATTTTTGTTTGATTCATTTTTTTTCAACTTTGCCACATAAGGGGTGATAACTCAGTTATAGGAACTTTTATAATAGAATGTGTTTTGAATTTACCTATTTTATTATGTAGCAAGATAAAATACTCCGCTGGGCGCAGCTTGATATGACCGCAGAGGTCGTACCCTGGACAGTTGGGGCAAGTATGGACACAACATTCAAGCTTGATACAGCTCTGAATTTGGATTGTGATTAAATATTTGACACAGCATAGGTTTCTGACACAGAATGAATGTGGTCTAAGAACTTAAAAATTTTTAATTTACCTATTATGGTCCAATATCCAAAATCTAAATACATACACGGTTAGAACCAGCATATCAAAGAACCCCAAGAATTCAATTTTTGTTAAAATCAAACTAAGTTAATTTTGGACCCTTTGGACCTTAATGTGAAAACGGGACCAAAAATTAAGAATCTAAATACACGGTTAGATTCAGCATATCAAAGAACCCCATTATTTCAATTTTTGATGAAATCAAACCATATCATTATTATTTGCTTTTATATATAAATCAAAAATAACCAACTTAAAATGGAAAATTCTAAAGAAAAAAAAAAGGAAAAAAAGGGGGAAAAAATCACCCCCCCCCTCCCCCAAAATGTTTTGAACCCCCTTATGATTCATCACCCCAAACTCAATCCCAGCTTTCCCTTTGTGGTATGGTACCTTGCAGTACAATTTCAGAGAGATCCATACACTTGAACACAAGTTATTGTCTGGAAACTATAGAAATGCTTGTTTTTTGGCCCCAAATTCCGAAACATTTAGGGCAATTACCCCCAAACAAACCCAGCTTTCCCTTTGTGATATGGAACCTTGTAGTACAATTTCATAAAGATCCATACACTTACACACAAGTTATTGTCCCGAAACTAGAAAAATGCTTGTTTTTTTTTCCCTTCTTTGGCCCCTATTTCCTAAAATTTTGAGGCAATTAGCCCCAAAATCAATTCCAGCCTTCCCTTTGTGGTATGGTACCTTGCAGTACAATTTCAGAGAGATCCATACACTTGAACACAAGTTATTGTCTGGAAACTAGAAAAATGCTTATTTTTGGCCCCTTATTCCTAAACGTTTTGGGCAATTACCCCCAAACTCAATTCCAGCTTTCCCTTTGTGATATGGAACCTTGTAGTACAATTTCAGAAAGATCCATACACTTACACACAAGTTATTGTCATGAAACTAGGAAAATGCTTGTTTTTGGCCCCTTCTTTGGCCCCTAATTCCTAAAATTTTGAGACAATTACCCCCAAAATTAATCCCAGCATTCCCTTTGTGATATGGAACCTTGTGGTACAATGTCAGAGAGATCCATACACTTAAACACAAGTTATTGTCTGGAAGTTACAAAAATGCTTATTTTTGGCCCCTAATTCCTTAACTGTTGGTACCATAACCCCCAAAATCAATCCCAACCTTCCTTTTGTGGTATTGGACCTTATAGTAAAATTTCATAGAGATCCATTCACTTAAACTAAAGTTATTGTGTGGAAACTAAATGCGTCTTCGGACGAAGCAGACGACTCCATGATAGCATTATACGACGCAAAATTTTTTTTGCGGTCGTATAAAAACAAGTCCAGTGACCCCATTTTTTATTTTTCTTATCCGAAAGCATATTATTAGAGCTATCTTCTCATATTTTATCCTAAAATTCTATGGTGTAGTTTTCTTTTTATCACACAAAATTGGGTTTTCCATGTATAATCTATACAAAATCTGACAATTTTGCACAACCTGTACGGCTGTAGCGTAAAAAAAAAGCCTGGTGACCCATACATTTTATTATATTTTTGAAAATAGCATGATATAAACTACATTTTGACAATTACTAAAAAATTCTATTGATTTTAATTTAGACCCCCATCTACCTTAAATCAGATTATTGAAATTTCACAGATAGATTGTACACTTATTGAAGTTGTGCATCTCTCTTGGGTTGTTCAAAGATATTTAAAAAATTTATATACATGGCATATGAATGCTTATTATAGAACATTCAACATTATAAAAGAACACCTTCTGTGCAACCATTTGAATCTTTGGTCCATTTATTGCACTAAATGTTTAGTCTGAGAACAAAGAGAAAGTAACTTAACTACCAGAATTCACTTCGAAAGGAGGAAATACAGAATAGCATACATAACATATTTACTGAACATGCTGAAGGCAGATTAATGGTAAAGTAACCCTTGCATCCCTGATTTGTCACAATCAATTAACAATGAACCAAACCTCCTTATATATGACAGTTTATGACATTTATTATTTTTATGCAAAAACCAAACCACAACACGCACATGGCATAATAATTTGTAAACATGATTCAATAACAAATCACGAACTGGAAAATTTTTGTCATTTAAAAGACATGTTTCTGTGAATTTCAGAAATGCAAATAAAATTGTGATGTAGACAATGGTAGATATCAAAACCTAAGTATATATATATTCTCTAATATTTAAGTCTATAACAATCCTACACTGTTTTGTACTTCCTTCCAAGTGTTTTCTGTTATAACAGCAGCTTTTTCTTTCCCTTTTCCTAAAACTGTATCTAAGTAATGTCTGTCACTTAGTATTCTTTCAGTTTCTTGTCTTATTGGTCCTAAACATTCCACTATAATGTCAGATAACTTTGTTTTATACTGTACTTTATTTAATGATATGCATTGTTCACAAACATTTTCAACTGTTTCATTAGTAAAAGCAGCATGTATTTGTAATAAGTTTGAAATTCCTGGTCTACTCTCTGGATCATAGGATATTCCTGGTATTGAGTCTGAATGAGATTTTCCAATTTTATCCACTATTTGATCTGGTGTGTCAGTAATTTCGATTCTGCTTTTTGAATTAACATCTGATTTGCTCATTTTTGCTGATGGATTTCGAAGACTTTTTATTCTTGGGCCTTCTCCTGAAATAACATTGTACATTTGTGTTTTATTATTGTGATAATCAAAGATGATGAACAAACATGTGATTCATTAACTGTTTATTTCCAGTATCTAATTCACCTTTCTCAGACTTTATATAAATTCTCTAGTTTTTGTCCTCATGTCTATACCAAAGGTAATTTTTTATGAAGAGTAGAAAACTTATCTTCCTGATTTACCAAAGTTTAAAACATCAATGCAATATCTCCTTTGTGAATTCCTTGCACTCATAATTGGAACTAAGAGGAGCTTTGTAATTTCTTTGTACTATCCTTCTGTTTATCAACACAATTCCTTTTTGTTCTTTAATCCAAAAATTCTCATATATTATCATGCATGGTTAGATGTTGGGGTATTATGAGGAGTTTATCCTACTGTCCTATCATCTTATTTGAGATCTTAGGAGAAATTACCAATGCTTAAACATTTCCCATGCCTCCAAATATTGTAAAAAGTAAAATAGCAAAAATACTGAACTCCAAGGAAAATTCAAAACAGAAAGTCCTTTATAGAATGGCAAATTCAAAAGCTCAAACATATCAAACGAATGAAAAACAACTGTCATATTTCTGACTTGGTACAGACATTTCCTTATGTAGAAAATGGTGGATTAAAACCTGGTTTTATAGGTAATGATACTTCATATGATTATAATGTAACTATACAAATAAGGTGGTATGATTGCCAATAAGACCACTATCCACCAGAACTGTCAACATAATTGGTAGGATGTTAAATCCTCACACATAGCTAAGGACTATTCCATTAAAATGTATGTGGGAGGGTAGGAAGGGAAGTTTACTTATTGAATGTTGGTCATGGGTCTTTTTCAGTATGCGTCTATTACCATTATGTAAAATTATCTAAAAATGGTTCTTGGTTGTAGGGATATTTTGAAAGTCCCTCCCTTCCCTCCCACATAGATTTTAATGGAATAGCCCTAACAAGCATGGAAAAAAACAGACATATTTTACTAAACCAACAACTTCACTTTCCATGTTTTTTTAAATATAATCTTAATGCCAGATATGAACTTTTTCTGAAACCATTGTTTATAAAAGATCAAAGATACCAGGCTTGTGAATGTGTATGCCAGACACTGTAAGAGTTATTAAATCTGGTATAATCACAAGTTTTTCTTGCAGTGACATCACCTACAGGGTAAACATTTGTCAAAGCTGAGAAAGAAAGTAAAAGAGCAAGTACAGGTTCAGGATAATCTTTTGTTCTGCACATGATGTTACCATAAATGCACTTGTGCACCCAATTTTTAACACTTACCTAAACAAAATTTTAATTAAATTTCTGTCCAATATTAATATTTTTTAATCAAAACATTTGAAGTTTCTCATTTATTAATCCTTAAACAACAAAATAATGTTGTTTTCCTGGTGGAAACTATCTATGTGTTTCATTTCATTTTTCTTGAAGTTTGAAGAAATTGTTAAAAAAAAAAGTTAATTACAAGGCCCATCCAAATTTTTTCTAGAACTTAACATACTTTTCTAAAACTGTCCTTTGATAATATTAGATGTTGCTCAGAAATCAAAGTTCCAACTCCCTCAGGCAAATTTGACCTTGGATGAATTTGGGTCTTCTTTTTAGGACCTTATTGACCAGTCATGTAACTCCTAAAGGTTCTTTGTATTTATACATCCCTGGCTTTCAAATATTTTTTCAGTTTGAAAGTTCTTTATGAAGGTAAATCAAGAAGGGCGCTTCAGACGCACAAAATTTATAAAGTGTTATTTGTCATTTTCTATAAGTTCTTGACTAACTTTTATGTTTACCAGTTTGAATAGAAATTTTCCATCTTTTTATCCTTACCCATTATATCCTTTGGACGAGGAAAGTTAAAATTGAATTTATTGTTGAATATCTTTGCTAGGTCACGTGTTAACTCTAGATGATGAATCTGATCTTCTCCTACTGGAACATGTGTTGCCCTTTTAATAGAGAAAGAGGACCTATAACAGTAGATTCATCTATTTTATCGTGGATACCGACTTTCATGATTAAAGAATATTTTTTTTAATTACAGTATATCTGGATTCAGAATAATGATAAATAGGAATATGAATTGTCTTTATACAATCACTGTTATAGTCAAAGAGAAAATTGTTAAATGATTTTCATATATATATTATAGTTTATTATACTATTTGCTTTTTTGATAATTACATCATTTTATGACATGTTTGTATATAATACATGATTTATATGTGTAAATGTATTTACAGTTGAAATATGGATATGAGATAAATTTAAAATGATTGCTTTGGGCCTCATTATCATTATGGCTGGAAATTTTTTTTTAGTACCTACCTATATCGAAGAGTGCTTTATCTAAATCATTTCCAATCTTACTAACCTGTATATAAGTATATCAGCTGCTTGTAGAATGGGATATGTAAACAAACCAATACCAGGATTTTCTGATATTTTAGACTTCTCCTGTGAAAAAAGTCATCTCTTTATAATCATATGTTGCAAACTAAATAAAAAAGAGATGTTTTAAATAAAAGCAGTATAAGAGATTTTGCTTTTGCTTTTACTCTGACAAACTTACATTGTAACAGAGGCACATGTGTCAGTAACATGATTACATTGTATCAGGTACACATGTTTTAATGATGTAACTACATTGTATCAGATGCACATGTATGCATGACATAATTACATTGTCTCAGAGGCACATGTATCAATGACATAATTACATTGTCTCAAAGGCACATCTATCAATGACGTAATTACACTGTATCAGTGGCACATATACCAGTAACTTGATTACATTGTATTAGTGGCTCATGTATCAGTAACATAATTACATTGTATCGGTGGCACATGTATCAATAGCATAATTTTACTGTGTCAGTGGCACATGAATCAATGGCATAATTACTTTGTATCTGAGGCACATGTATCAAGAAGGCAGGATGTGTAAAAGTAATCTTAATTTTATTATTTGTCTATAGTTCAGACATATACCTATAGTTGTTAATTTCTGTGTCATTTGATCTCTTGTGAAGAGTTCAATGTCTCATTGGCAATCATACCACATCTTCTTATTTTTATATACATGATATATGCACTGAAGACATACAATATACATGTAATTTTGTTGATCTGATTTTTATACTTGCCTGTCATTTAAGATATCTGAATAAAATTAAAGACTCTTAGAGCATGTGTTGCTCACCTGAATCTAAATGCATATTTAACAATGACCTGACTATTCAACATTATAGAATAGAATATAATTCATGACAAAAATCGCTTTTTTGTAGATCTTGTATTGCTGATAATTTTAATTTTTTCTCTCTATATACTATTATTTTTGCTAAAAATACAAAAATGGGTAAAAATAATCATTCAAGACAGTAACTCCTATAAGAACTGGACTGAAAATTTTGGCTTTGTAGACATATTTGTTGAACATGTCTTGCTGGTCATTTTCATAGTTTACAGTTTCTCTCTATCTTAGATAATGTTTGCCAAAATATCAAAAAATTGTCATTTAAAAGAGAGACAAAAGATACCAAAGGGACATTCAAACTCATAAATCAAACATAACCTGACAATGCCATGGCTAAAAAAGAAAAAGACCAACAAACAACAGTACACAAAACACAACATAGAAAACTAAAGACTGAGCAACACGAACCCCACCAATAACTGGGGGTGATCTCAGGAGCTCCAGAAGTGTAAGCTTCACATGTGGCACCTTCCGTGTTGCTCATGTAAGTACAAACCTGGTGATAAGTCTAATTCGGGAGGTCACATTCAAGTAGTAAGGGCACTAATCCCTATAAGAAGTCAACTGACTACAAGTATTTCAGCTATGTTGACCTATTTGTAGGTCTAGTGATGCTGGTTCTTTTTGACTTTCTGATTACCTGGTAATTAATTGCTTGTTGCTGCTTAACATCCAGTGGCAAATATTTTATTCATATTCAAAATGATATCTATAGTTAATGAGAAACTGACCAGTATGTTGAAAAAATTTAAGGATGAATTTATCAAGTCACTTCAGCTAAGGTCATGGTCAATTGCAATATGCCAGATGGAAACTTCTGACCATAAGCCATCTATAAACAAATTATAATCTATGGATCAACTCCAGGGTTTTGCTATTAGGGCATTTGAATTAAACCAATATCATGCTCATGTAGTACCAGATAAATTCAGTTTAAATTTAAATTTAAGGAAGCTATAGCAATAGTGATGGACATTGGGCCAACAATGAATACACGCTTAAAGAGTGAAGACATATTTCTACAGATCTCAAAAGACATTGTTTCAAAATTTCTTCAACAAAAGGTAAGTTACATTAGATATTTAAAATCATTATAAACTAAAAAAAATGGGGGGGGGGGGGGGGGGGGGGGGAGGAACAAAAAATAATAGACTCTGACCAACTGTCTTTTATTTGTGTCCTGAAAGAGCTTTGGGCAACTGCAAAGGTCATAACAATTATAGCTTGGACTATTATCAACTGTTGGCCACAATATCAAACAGTTACAGACTTACTCCGGGTTTACCAGGACTATAACAGACTTTGTTTCACACATAAATTCATTTACACAGCAGTCCTTGACCTCCGAAGAGCTGTCACCAACAGTTAATTTTAAGTTCAAAAAATCTTGTCACAAAACTTTAGTGTAAATCCTGATGGCCTCCATACATGAACAAGGTTTGATTTGACAAGAAGCCTAAAACACTGCACCCTTTTCAATCATTTACAAAACTTAAATGATAAGCTTAAGTTCTCCCCAAGAATTTAATAACTGGGAACTCTTCAATACAACTGTATCATCTTTTTACTATAAATTATAGCATTACATCCATTATACAATCTATATCAAATTAATACCATGATTCTAAAAGCAATGAAGAACATAACAGGTACCTATTAAAAATAAGACAGTAGACATCGTTTACTAATCTTAATAATTTGTTTGTTTTGTTTTCATTAAAATATAAGCTGATCTGTTTATATTTTTCAAATTGCGTACTGACAATTAAATTATTTGATGGGAATGTTCTGAACAAAATATGTATATATATCTTTCTCCTGACGTTTCTGTGCAAATGAAAGGAAACAGTTGTCCCAAATGAATGTAACTGGATTCCTTAATTATTTACAGAGAATATCCAGCTGCAATGATGAAATAAGTCTGATATTATTCGGTACCCCTGCAACTGTCCATCCATATGCAGATGATATTCATTACCAGAACATCACAATTATTAACCGTTTGGGTGCAGTGAACCTTGAACTTTTGGATTTAGTGCAGAACTCTATAGAGCCTACATCCATTTCTGCTGACTGTATCCTATATCATGTTTATCATTTATATGATTTTATTTGACCATGTCAGTAAGTTCTTTAGAGTTTTTGAAGGGAAACAGATTACTATAAGTAAATTATTTTTATGCATGAAATCTTTTCAGTAAAACAGTGTGACACCTAAATTTTGCCAACATTCTATATTTTTGGATTTCCCACCTTTTTGCATGGAACTTATAGTAATGATGTTCTACGTTAAAGATAAAAAATATAGTATTGCTATAATTTTCAATATGGAACCTTATTCAATAGATTTTGAATTTGTTTACATTAAGGGGACTCCCTTTGAACATTTATGGAGGAAATAAGCAGGCAAAATTTGAATATTCAATTTTTGTTTTCCCCACAATGAACACATTTAAGCAAGGGATACCTGAAATTTGGTGAGAGGAAGGCATATCTTAAATTTTATTCTACAAAACTTTGTTTCCGGGAGCGAAAAAATAAGTGGACTAATAATGAAAATTTCTTGTGTCCAGAAAGACAATTGCCATGATACTAAGTTCTTTCTAAAAATATATATTATTCATGAACTGTTTTTAACTTTGATTTTCCTTAACTTAAAATAGTTTTAGATGCTTTAATAGTGGCATTGAACCATCTAAAAGATGCAACAAAGTAAGTTAATCTAGTTTCTTCTTTTTTTAAACAATTTGAGTATATATTTAAAAGGGTAATACAAAACAACATCTGGTAAAATAGTTCATATCTTGAATATCACAATAAAATATTTGTAAATGCAAAACCTAATACAAATGTTGAAGAACTGATATATCTGTAAGGTCTAAAGGTGTAGCCAAAAACAGAGAAGGACATAGAGCTGTGCATGAGACAGATACATTCCTAAATTTCCAACGTTTTATCACTGCAAATTTTCATAAAAAACATATTGTGTATTTTCATGACTGTACAAAAGTACTGATCTACTAGGCTGGTGATAACCTTGGGGAATAACAGCCTAATAGCAGAAGATTTTAGTTCCAGGGGTCAAAATAGCATTAAACCGTACAATTTTACTGCACCAGATGCCTAATTTGTTTCTTCAGTGATACTAACTGCCAAAATATCTTAAAATCCAAATCCTAATTCAAATGTTGCAGAGCTGATTTAAGTAAAACGGACCTTAAGTATACTGTAACTTTGTGATAAGCTTTAAGTTCAGTTGAGATGAATCAATTAATTTAAATAGAATTTTTGTTCATTATCACTTTTGACAAGTACATATTGTAAATTCAATACTGAAATTAGTTTTGCAGTTAGTAAAGTGTTACTTGTTAGTAAAGTGATGCTTGAAATATAATTTCCTTCAACAACTTGTTTGGGAATACTTATTTAATTCTTCTGTATGATTTGCAGAGCAGAAACATTTTCTGTTTTCTAATTTTGTAAGCTTTTTTTTTTGTAAATTCTAATGAACTGACTGTATCTAACATTTGTCTAATACACATTCCAGAAGCAGGTCTGAGATTTTAAAAAGAAGAATTATTTTACTATCTGACCTTGGCGGCCATTGCAAGGAAGAACAATCTTATGCTGTGATTATGAAAGTAAAGGATTTGTGTGCTGAGTTAAATTTTATGTAAGAATTTAAATTAATACGATTTATGTAATACCAAAAATAAAAAGACAATGGGATTTGAGTGCCAATTAGACAACTATCAACCATAGACTGTGGGACTAGAATGTAAACAACTATATGGCGCTTTATGGCCTTCAACAATGAGCAAAATCCATACTGTATATAGTAAGCTATAAAAGGCAATTGCATGACGAATATTCAAAAGAAAAAAAAATAACATCTTGATGTATGCTACAAACACGAAATCATGGAAATACAATAAACTAAAAACAGTTATGGCAAACAGCAACTAACCACAACCACTGGATTACAGGCTCTGACTCTGAACATATTTGTCAATTGTTAACAGAAATCTGACAAACTTATACACGACAAAAGAAGTCTGTAGGTATAAGCCAAGGAAATTGTAATGCAGAACATAATTCAATACTAAATATTTGTTACAGCCTGACTTGGTCCAAAGTTGAAATAAATATCCTCTTCTTTATTGTGCATATCACCATATAGCAAAAGGAAGACTTTTAAAAGATGGTTACTTGGGTAACTATGATATAAATTAGCTAACCAGTGTTATCACTTTAAAAAATTTCAACACTTTTGTTATCAGACTTATGTTGAACCTTAGACCTTCACTTTAAACCATTATCGAACCAATGTACATTTTTTTCCTAAATTGATATATTTTAGAGGACCATTTGACACAGAAAAACATGGAAAATCAACAGTGTTTGGTGAAGAATATACATTATTACCAAGGCAACAAACAGGAGGATATATCATAAGTAATATACTCCTAAATGTGGGAGGGACATATCTTAGCTTCAAGTAAGTAATAGAGAGTGTGAAGATAAGCACCCCTATGGGTATAACAATTTATTACTTGTCAAAAAATTGAAAACAACGTTAACACGTTTAATAATTTCATGCGTCCGAATTGCGAAGCGCTTTTCTGGATTTACTGTCGATTATGGATGTTTACGCTGCCAAGTTACTAAACAACATATGCTACTCGATTGAATTATTCAGTGATCAAAAAATTTAATTAAAAAATTAATTTAAAAAAAAACTTGCACCTTGTCTAGGGAGGTTTTACCATACTAGTATTCTATCTTCTGTATTGCTAAAACAAACATTTCCTGAATACTTTTAGCATCCACACACCCTAATAGAAATGAAATAGTCTAAAAATTGCCATGGTGAAACATGTAGATAACTTTTGAAATTTGATAGCCGGGTCATCCTTAAAAATTAAAACCCTATTTGCTCTGCATATCCCCCAGACCCACTCTGCCTCACTTGTTGTGTGCTACAGATATTGTTGCAAACTACTAAAGTGACATTAATGGCACCATTGATCACTCATTTTAGAATTGTGAGAGAAAACAGTATAACCATAAAAGAAGAATGTGTCTGAGGACACTAATGCCCATGCTCAAGCTTTGCAATTTTCCATGTTAAAAAGGGGCATAATTCTAGAACAGTATATGACCCACAACCCAAATTCGAACTCTGTCTTTATTTTGTGGTTCTTTTCATTGTGTATGAGTTTCATAAAATTCGGATGAGATAAACCTAAGTTAGAATGTGGAAACGAAAACATTTACTATTTCAAAGTTAAAAAGGGGCATAACTCTAAAACGGTAAGTGACTCACTGCCATAAATTCAAATTCTGTATGCTAGTTTTGGTTCTTAGCATTGTATATGAGTTTCTTAAAATTTGGATGAGAAAAACTTAAGTTAGAAAGCGGAAACAAAAACATTTGCAATTTTTCAAGTTATAAAGGGACATAACTCTGAACAGTAAGTGACTCACTGCCAAAATTCGAACTCTGCCTGGGAGTTTTGGTTCTTAGCATAAAATTTGCATGAGGCAAACATAAGTTAGAGTGCGAAAACGTAAAATGGGGCAGACAGAAAGACGGACAGAAAGACAGACGATAAAGGGTAACACTTAATGCCCCCGTTGTCATAGGTAAACTCAAAAAGGGGAAGTACATAAAAACTGACAAAATCAAAAGTTATCGACCAAAAGAACGAGTGGAAAACAAATGTCATATCCCTGACATGGTACAGGCATTTTCAGAAGAAAATGGTGGGTTAAACTGGTTTTATATTTACCTTTCCAAGGGGCATAAAAAAAAAAAATAAAATGCTCCGCAGGGCGCAGCTTGATACGACCGCAGAGGTCGAACCCTGAACAGTTGGGGCAAGTATGGACACAACATTCAAGCTTGATACAGCTTTGCATTTGGATTGTGATTAAATATTTGACACAGCATAGGTTTCTGACACAGAATGAATGTGGTCTAAGAACTTAAAAATTTTAAATTGGACATTCACCTTTTATGGTCCAATATCCAAAATCTAAATACATGGTTAGATTCAGCATATCAAAGAACCCCAAGAATTCATTTTTTGATGAAATCAAACAAAGTTTAATTTTGGACCCTTTTGACCTCAATGTGGACAAAGTTGATAACGGGGCCCAAAAATCAAAAATCTAAATACATGGTTAGATTCAGCATATCAATGAACCCCATATATTCAATTTTTGTTGAAATCAAACAAAGTTTAATTTTGGACCCCGATTTGGACCAACTTGAAAACTGGGCCCATAATCAAAAATCTAAATACATGTTTAGATTCAGCATATCAAAGAACCCTAAGAATTCAATTTTTGTTAAAATCAAACTAAGTTTAATTTTGGACCCTTTGGACCTTAATGTAGACCAATTTGAAAACGGAACCAAAAATTTAGAATCTAAATACACGGTTAGATTCGGCATATCAAAGAACCCCAATAATTCAATTTTTGATGAAATAAAACAAAGTTTAATTTTGGACCCTTTGGACCTCAATGTGGACCAATTTAAAAACGGGGCCCAAAATCCAAAAACTTAATACACGGTTAGATTCAGCATATTAAAGAACCCCAAGAATTCAAGAATAAAACCCCATTGAAATTGGTCAAGAAATAAGCAATTTATACGAAGTATCTTCTTTTGCACAATACTGTGCAATTGAATATTTCTTGCTATTGCGCAATACTGTACAATTGACAATTTCTTTCTATTGCGCAATATTGTGCTATTGGATATTTCTTGCTATTGTGCAATACTGTGCAATTGAAGGTTTCTTGCTATTGCGCAATACTGTGCAATTGAAGATTTCTTGCTATTGTGCAATACTGTGCAATTGAAAATTTCTTGCTATTGCACAATACTTATTATATAAAAATTTACACATCCTGTTTGGTGTGTACCTCCTACCATATCATTATTATTTGCTTTTAAATATAAATCAGAAATAAACCAACTTAAAATGGAAAATTTTAAAAGAAAAAAAAAGGATAAAAAGAAAAAAAAAATGAAAAAAAAAAAAAATCCCCCCCCAAATTTTTTGAACCCCCTTATGATTCATCACCCCCAAACTCAATCCCAGCCTTCCCTTTGTTGTATGGTACCTTGCAGTACAATTTCAGAGAGATCCATACACTTGAACACAAGTTATTGTCTGGAAACTAGAAAAATGTGTTTTTTGGCCCCTTTTTGGCCCCAAATTCCTAAACGTTTAGGGCAATTACCCCCAAACTCAAACCCAGCTTTCCCTTTGTGATATGGAACCTTGTAGTACAATTTCAGAAAGATCCATACACTTACACACAAGTTATTGTCCTGAAACTAGAAAAATGCTTGTTTTTTGCCCCTTTTTGGCCCCTAATTCCTAAAATATTGAGGCAATTACCCCCATTATCAATCCCAGCCTTTCCTTTGTGGTATGGTACATTGCAGTACAATTTCAGAGAGATCCATACACTTGAACACAAGTAATTGTCTGGAAACTAGAAAAATGCTTATTTTTGGCCCCTTTTGGCCCCTAATTCCTTTACTGTTGGTACCATAACCCCCAAAATCAATCCCAACCTTCCTTTTGTGGTATTGAACCTTGTGGTAAAATTTCATAGAGATCCATTCACTTAAACTAAAGTTAGAGTGCGAAAAACAATGTGTCTTCGGACGACGCCAGACGAACGACGCCAACGTCATACCAATATACGACCACAAAAATTTTTTTGCGGTCGTATAATAAGCGTTGACTTTTGAATTCATTCATTCTATTGCTGATGTGAACATTTGGGGATATATTACATGAAAAGCTGAGAGCACTTACAATGTTGATAATTATTGATTACCTATGGTTTTGAAAACTAGAGAGTATATTGGCAGCAATCTCATAGGGCGATAATGTAGCATCAGCTTTTCATTTTACATCTCAATTTTGGGGTTTCCAACATCAAAACATGGACTCTGAGCAAATTCTCCTAGATCAGTTTGTTAATCAGCAACTCCTTAAAAACAGCGTGACAGAATTCCATCAAACTTTCGCAGATTTTTCAACAGGACATAAAGTTGTGAACTGGTTATTTTAATTTTGACCAGAGTGATATTTGGGGCCCTAACCCTAACAATTCCTTGAAAAAGGCTTGATAAAATACAACCAAATTAGTACAGATACTTCAAAGGATATGCAGTTTTGCACCTGCTTTTTTTTATTCTCCTGAAAACTGGAATTAAAGAATGATGGATTAGTGTTGAGACAAACATACATATTTAAAACAAATATAAATTTACCAGTATTTGCAGCTCGATTTTAGAACCACCCAACAGGATTGTCCCACAGACCAAAATACTAAGCCCTCTCTTAAAATATACCTTTGTTAGCTGGCATGATTTTTAAAAGAAATTATGAATTTATGATATTTTTCAGAGAAGCATTATCAAAAGAGGGTACATTCCAAACCATTGATGCTGACAAAACTCTTGTTGCTGACAAAACCATTGATGATGACAAAACCATTGTTGCTGACAAAACCATTGTTGCTGACAAAACCATTGTTGCTGACAAAACCATTGTTGCTGACAAAACCATTGATGCTGACAAAACTCTTGTTGCTGACAAAACCATTGATGATGACAAAACCATTGTTGCTGACAAAACCATTGATGATGACAAAACCATTGTTGCTGACAAAACCATTGATGATGACAAAACCGTTGTTGCTGACAAAAGACTTGTTGCTGCTGACTGTACAAAGACATGCAAGCAGGAGAAAACATCCAACATCAAAATGTCATTGCGCACAAAAAAGGTATGCCGACATTAAAATCAAACTCAAAATGGTTTTTTAAAAAGTAAAATTTCATATGGGTCCACTCTTTCTACTTACCAACTTAATATTTGAAATTGAAAATTTCTTTTTTTAGTTTTCTGACATCATTTAGGCGTGTTTCTCTAAATGTTTAAGAAGCTGACTGATTTAATACTCAAAATGCTCATTTGTCAATAGCTTTATAATTGACTGATAATGTGCTTCGCTGTGCGCAGCTGGATACAACCGCAGAGGTCCAACCTTGACACATTATAGGTTTCTTGAAATTGTTAAACGATTTGAATTTATATTCAACTGAAGATTTCTTGCTGTTGTGCAATACACTGTGCTGTTGCGCAATACTTTGTAAATCTGTTTTCAGACTATATACAAAGAATTAGCATAATAAATTGTGACCCAAATTTTTTTGGGGGAAAAATGATAATTTCTTAAACATGTTAAATCTTGAAAAAAAAAATTGACCCCTCCAATATCCCATGATAAAGTTGTCACACCAAAACCCCTTTTATCGGACGTGCCACACGTTTTGTTATAAATGTTCTTTAATTTGAAGGCAGTTCATCAGTTCATGCATATTAGATAAATGATGAATAACACTGTTTGATAAAAGGTATCCTTACACATCATTATGATCATTGACCATTGAAAAACCTTCCAAACTTTAACAGTAAGCATAACAAAACATTGATGTTTGTTTATATTGAAACAGGATGTGATACCTGAAGAGGCAAAACTATTTATTTCATTTTAAAAAGTAATTAAACATCATGAGAAATAGGACTAACAATTGCTCTGAGTTCACAGTAATCAAATTCATTTGTCCCTAGAGGTTCACATATACTATTTTATGACCATCATAAATGTCGCCAGATGAAATATAAAATCTACCTTTCTTATTTGAAATATCTGGATATGAGATGAGAAATTTTTTTTTATATATGCATAGTTCTCAAAATCTTTTTTTAGTCAGTTGGTCATAAGAACCACAAAGACAACAAAACTTTTGGTCTCAGTGAAAAATTGGTGGTTCTGTTTTTGCAGTAAAATTTTTGCTATCAATTATTTCCACAGGTTAAATAAGATTAGGCTAATTAGCACAATAATTATATGGTTCCATATGCATTGTAATAAGAATTGCTGGACCTACCAGATTTTTTATAGTCAGGACCGACAGGACAACCAGTTTTTCGAGGACACTGGCTATGGCAATATCTGATCATTTAACTTTCATAATTTAAATGTAGCTTCAGATTTTCATATTTTCCTTAAACCTTTGACTTATCCTTTAGATTGGAGGAAAATGATTGTCAGAAATGGTAAGTTTAGTAAGGAAATCTACCAACGTAGAATATTCCACTGCTTGCGTTTCCATCACCATGATCATGATTTCCTTGATGGAGGGTTGCTGCTTTTAAGGAAGCTATTGAAAGAAGGGGTTTTATTGTGAAGTTAAATTCATCTCCTCAAACATCTTATAGATGTCATCGTGATTTGGCTGCCCGTTATGGGATATCTGTGTTGTAAATGATCAAGGATTTGTTCTACTTGTTGTAGCCAGTCATGTCCTCCTTTCTTGGTTTATAACATATCACTGATATGAAGGAAAGTAAGAATATATAGTTTTCAATTACCTTCCATTGTGGTAGATGTTGTAGCCTTGGTAATGTACATAGACACCCTAGCAACCATGCTAAATCTGTGTGATGAGGTACCTTAAAGGTGAAAATAAACAGTTATTATTTAGGCTGATACAAGTTTATAATCTATACATAAATGCTGCTCGCTATTTTCTCTGTACAGTAAAACCTGTATAAACCGGCCGGCTACGGGACCGTGAAAAACGGCCGGTTTGGACAGTGGGCCGGTGTATTCAGGTTTCCGTTTTGACCGGAAGTTAAGGACTTGTGACGTTCTGAACTATAAAAGTTCTGTATGAATTTAAATTTAATCATAAACTGATTACTAGTTATACAAAACGTAAAAAATGCAATATTTTTGTACGATCGTTGTTTTGAATCTTTTTATTCATTGTCTATAGAAATTTAAGAAACTGATTGTTCCTTGTTCATTGTCATTCAGTGTACGATACCCGTGGATTGTCGTCATTCGGGTGATCTTCATTATCAGGGTCATTAGTTTAGGATTTCACAACAGGGAACCCAGGATTTTGAAAACACAATGTAAATTTCTTACTCCGCGATTTGAAAATAATTATCTAAATAACAACGTAAGTTCTATCCAGTGGTTCTATCCATGATATATTCGGCGTGTCTTTTAATCTATTTTACACTTTTATAGTGTTTCAATAATACAGCTCACTATTGTACCATGTGTAAGTTCAAGGTTTAACACCTGCATGGCTAATTGATTATCATGTAAAACCATCTTGTATCAATAAATATGTTTTGATTGCGTATCTCATTTAAAATTAATTAGACAAACCGGTTTTGACAGGTAATAATTGATGTAATTAAGCTATTGGGATTGAATCATTAGACCGGAATTCGGAATACACAGGGTCCGGTTTACAAAGGGTATTTTAACAAAGACTTTGATGTAAAAAAAATTGAACTTAAGTTTTCGGCCGGAATGGACAGGAAACCAGTTTATTCAGGGTCCGGTTTACACAGGTTTGACTGTAGTAGAATATGACATTGAATATTAGTGGTATAATTCCTTAAATCCTTCATGTTTATTCCAAATTTATTTGTAATTAAAACAAACCTTGAAATCTTCATCATATTTGTAGCAAAATAATACTTCTTGTTAAAGGAAAACATTTAAAATTAAAGTTTATTTATATCAAATGGAGAATACAAAACCAAGTTTGTTGAAAGGACTGTGGGGTTGAGGTATTGCCACAATTATATTTTCTGTGCCAACAGACATTACATTCATAGATCTATTGACAGTACGTTCTTATCATCACCTCAGCTCCACAGACCTTTTAACTTATAACAAGCCAACAGGAACATCTGTGTGCAAATAAAAAGTTTTTGTTTTGTAGTTCACGTGAACCAGCCAACCTCTTCTTTTTTTACTTCTGTCTCAATGTTCCATGTAAATTCCTTTTTTTCCCACCAATGTGAAAGAGAATTCAAATGATTTGTTTAAAAATACACAAAATAGCTATAATGTAATATATCAGCTGTGAGTCACAATATGAAGCTTTTTGTTGAGTGTATCAAACAAGTTATAAAAGGCTGCATATATTACATCAAGCAGCTTATATTTTCACAAAACAATATGATGAATATTGATTTATTGAATGTATTTGTGTGTTTTCTTATTAGAACAATACTTTTTCTTTGTTTCACCAGCAAACTGAAAGAAAACTTGATAAGTTCTGGTCAAGCTTATTAAAGTTAGTTTTAATATTATAATGTAAGCGATAAGTCTGAGTCATAGATATTAAGGCTGGTTCAACATATTTGACTTAAAAAAATGTCTTGATATGCAATTTTATGAAGAGCTAAGCAGAGAGATATAGGCAGATGGAAAACAGATAAGTATCTCTTACCTGTGATTGTTGAAATAATATACTTTTGTTGGTATCAATACCACAAGCCAGTAAAGAAGCTGCCATCTTGTAGATGTTTTCTCTAAAATTTGAAATAAGTACAATTGTTTAATGAATATCAATTTACAATGATGTCTGTCTTTGAATAAGGTCAATAGTGGTTTGCTGACTACGAAAAACACTCATCAGAAATCAGGAAGTCAATCAAATCAAATAAGAATGCATGCATTGTTGTGTTAAGCATACTTCCCACTCATTATTCAAGTATAGGAAAACAGGAAGTAGGTGTTTGACAGATCAAAAAAGTGCACACACCTTAAAACTCATGAGAGCTGAGCTTCTGACCAAATATGAAGAGTCATTCTGTTCAGTAGTATTGGAGAAATTTGTGACGAAAGATTTTAAGTTCATTTAACATATTCAAAATTCAAAGTATTGGAAAACAGGAAGTCAGAATCTGACAGATTTGAAAAGCATTCACATGTTACAATTCATCAACGTCAAGCTGCTCACCAAATATGAAGTAATTCTGTTCCATAATTATAGACAATTTTTTTCTTCTGTAAAATGATTAATTGATAGAATTCCTCATTATGACACAACTGCAATATAACAATACAACTATAGCATTCCCATTCACCTACCGGGAATTATTTAAGCAAGTTTAAACAAACTGTTAACACAGAGATATGTCTCGCCTTTTTGTTTTTTTGATAGTTAAATGCAAAATAAGTTTAATGTTGAAATTAAACTAGCAATATTTTAACATGTAAGTTATGCAAAATATTCAACAGTGTTCAATGTCAATGAACCATGACTGAGGTACAGGGCCAAACATTCTCGATGGAAATGAGATATGCCAATGCTACTACATATGCATACCAAATATCCTTGACCTACCACTATTTGTTCCGCAATAACTGATCTCATCATAAACTAATACATGTAAACTAAGCAAAAGTTTCAAAGTCAATAGACCACGACTGAGGGGGAGGGGCCAAACAATCTCCATGGAAATAAGATGTGTCAATGCCAATACAAATGAATACCAAATATCAATGACCTACCACTAGTGGTTCACTATAAACTGAACTAATCACAAACTAAAACATGTAAACTAAGCAAAAGTTTCAAAGTCATTAGACCATGACTGAGGGGGCAGAGTCAAATAATCACCATGGAAATGAGATGTTCCAATGATGATATAACTGCATACCAAACATCATTGACCTATCACTAGTGGTTCCCCATAAACTGACCTAACCACAAACTAATACATGTAAACTATGCAAAAGTTTCAAAGTCAATAGACCACGACTGAGGGGGTGGGGCCAAATAATCTCCATAGAAATGAGATGTGCCAATGCTTATACAACTGCATACCAAATATCACTGATCTACCACTAGTGGTTCCCCACAAAACTGACCTAATCACAAACTAATACATTGTTGACGACACCACCAACGCCGTTAAACAGCATACCTATGTCTAGCTTTTTGACTCTGTCAAGGCGAGACAAAAATCATCATTTATTGCATACATCGGATAGTTCTTTGTTAATTGGAATATCATAAAATATCACTATAAACTATAATAATTGCCAATTAATCAAAATTATCTTAAAGCTTTGAAATATTTTAAATGCAAAAACAGTTAAGATGTTGTTTGTAATGTTTTGTTTATTGTCATGTAGTATGTATCCATGACAACAAAGTGCAGCAATTACCTTAATGTCTTTGGATCATTAGGAACTGTGAGTGCATGAAGGTCTACAATAGTATATAAAACATCATCAAATTGATCCTGTAATTGGACCCAATTTTTAATGGCACCAAGATAGTTCCCAATATGAGGTATCCCTGTTGGTTGAATTCCAGATAAGACTCTTGGCTTCTGTAAAATAGCAATAAATGTCAAAATGTATTGTCCATGTTTTCATTAATGTAAAGATTTTAATTTGCATGGGAACCCATGAATCTGGCTGTCAAATGTTTGCAGATATAAATATATAAATGTTTACAGTCTTACAAAAGATGTGGAAAAACATATTCATGCTATTTCTACAACAGAGTTCTAAGGTATAAATAAAAGGAGTTATATGTCAATGAGACAACACCTCAATATCACAAACAACTTAAAGAAATGTAGAGGTCAACATATAGCTTTTTTCAACAATAGACAGGTGTTAATGTAATATATTTCAAGCTCTAAACCGCCCCGAGTCATAAATTACTATAAATTAAATAGAGATTAATCTTGAGAAATGAGAATGTGCCCTACACGATTCTCAATTTTGAGATCTAAATGTCCAAAAAATGGGAAGTTGTCAAATGATGCACTAGAAACAAATGATAACACATATACATGTAACTGAATATTAGTACAAATGCACTTAGTTCTGTAAGAGACAAACAACAAAAGTAGCAGCAATTACGAGTGATAAGTATCCTGACATAGAACAGGTTCCTATCCTATAATCCATGTCATTTCAAGTGGCAGGGTTAGAAATTTAAATAATACAATATAAATTTGGTGCATCTGAAGCACTTTTCTGGATTTACCTTCATAAGGAATGCTGGAACCCAAACATTTCAAAGACAGAATGTATAAATACCTGAATATGTGAGGAGCTATGTGACCAAAAGGGACCTAAAAAGAATAACCAAACTCATCCAAGGTAAATTTTGCCTTAGGGAGATGGAACCTTAGTTTCTTAATAATTTTGAAACTTATCAACAGAGAATTTAAGAAAAGTATGTTATAGATCATATCAGTCATGAGCTGATAATGCTCTTGGGGACTTACAGTCCACCAGCAGCGTGATCAAACCAGTTCTACAAATTAAAAAAAAATAATTTGATAAATTTGGTGTGTCCGAAACGCTTTTCTAGATTTACCTTCTTCAGAATCGCTCCAACTCGAAAAATGTAAAAGCCTAGGATGTAGAAAGAGTGTTTTTTTTTAATAATTTTCCAAGCAACCATTATAATCAAAATAGTACAGATTAATAATTGGGTGATTCCTTTCTTAGGCTATAATTTACTTAAATAACATTTGGAAGTTATATCAGGCCACACTTAAAAATATTTTGGTTTGTCCAAACCCTACCCAAAGGTTGAAACAGTGGGTAGGTAGGTAGGCATTTTCTTTTTCTTTTTTGACGAAGAGAAATTAATGCGTCAAATGTTTTTTATCTCCATGCCTATATCTGATTGAAAAAAAAAACTTTTTTCCATCAGGACAATAAAAGATTTTGAGTAGGCAGCTATTTTTTGGGTAGGTAGGGTTAGGGCAAACAAACATATTTATTGCCTCATATTCATAAATGTATCATAAGTACTGAAAGCAACAATATCAGACATGATATACATATATATGCCCTCCTTTTAAGATTTATTCATACATTTTTGTATTATTCAAAATTATCAGTAAATAAAATGCTTCGCTGGGGCGCAGCTTGATACGACCGCAGAGGTCGAACCCTGAACAGTTGGGGCAAGTATGGACACAACATTCAAGCTTGATACAGCTCTGAATTTGGATTGTTATTAAATATTTGACACAGCATAGGTTTCTGACACAGAAAGAATGTGGTCTAAGAACTTGAATTTTTTTAATTTACCTATTATGGTCCAATGTCCAAAATCAAAATACATGGTTAGATTCAGCATATCAAAGAACCCCATATATTCAATTTTTGTTAAAATCAAACAAAGTTTAATTTTGGACCCCAACTTGGACAAACTTGAAAACTGGGCCCATAATCAAAAATCTAAACACATGTTTAGATTCAGCATATCAAAGAACCCCAAGAATTCAATTTTTGCTAAAATCAAACTAAGTTTAATTTTGGACCCTTTGGACCTTAAAGTAGACCAATTTAAAAAACGGGACTTAAAATTCAAAATCTAAATACACGGTTAGATTTGGAATATCAAAGAACCCCAATAATTCAATTTTTGATGAAATCAAACAAAGTTTAATTTTGGACCCTTTTGACCTCAATATAAACCAATTTGATAGCGGGGCCCACAAATAAAAATTCTAAATTCATGGTTAGATTCAGCATATCAAAGAACCCCATATATTCAATTTTTGTTGAAATCAAAAAAAGTTTAATTTTGGACCCCAACTTGGACCAACTTGAAAACTGGGCCCATAATCAAAAATCTAAACACATGTTTAGATTCAGCATATCAATGAACCCCAAGAATTCAATTTTTGTTAAAATCAAACTAAGTTTAATTTTGGACCCTTTGGACCTCAATGAAGACCAATTTAAAAAACGGGACCCAAATTAAAAATCTAAAAACATGGTTAGATTTGGCATATCAAAGAACCCCAATAATTCAATTTTCGATGAAATCAAACAAAGTTTAATTTTGGACCCTTTTGACCTCAATATGAACCAATTTGATAGCGGGGCCTACAAATAAAAAATCTAAATACATGGTTAGATTCAGCATATCAAAGAACCTCATATATTCAATTTTTGTTGAAATCAAACAAAGTTTAATTTTGGACCCCAATTTGGACCAACTTGAAAACTGGGCCCATAATCAAAAATCTAAATACATGTTTAGATTCAGCATATCAAAGAACCCCATATATTCAATTTTTGTTGAAATCAAACAAAGTTTAAATACTGGACCCTATCTTGGACCAACTTGAAAACTGGGCCCATAATCAAAAATCTAAACACATGTTTAGATTCAGCAAATCAAAGAACCCCAAGAATTCAATTTTTGTTAAAATCAAACTAAGTTTAATTTTGGACCCTTTGGACCTCAATGTAGACCAATTTAAAAAACAGGACCCAAAATTAAAAACCTAAATACACGGTTAGATTTGGAATATCAAAGAACCCCAATAATTCAATTTTAGATGAAATCAAACAAAGTTTAATTTTGGACCCTTTTGACCTCAATATGAACCAATTAGATAACGGGGTCCACAAATAAAAAATCTAAATACATGGTTAGATTCAGCATATCAAAGAACCCCATATATTCAATTTTTGTTGAAATCAAACAAAGTTTAATTTTGGACCCCAATTTGGACCAACTTGAAAACTGGGCCAAAAATCAAAAATCTAAATACATGTTTAGATTCAGCATATCAAAGAACCTCATATATTCAATTTTTGCTAAAATCAAACAAAGTTTAATTTTGGACCCTTTGGACATTAATGTAGACCAATTTGAAAACTGGACCCAAAATTAAAAATCTAAATACACTGTTAGATTCGGCATAACAAATAAATAAATGTGATCAAAGATTTTACAAATCTAATGCGCCATACTGTGCAATTAAAGATTACTTCTTGAAATTTTTCAATTTGAAATTTGAAAAAAAAATAATATTTGAAGAATAATTCTTTTTAATTTCTGAAATCTGAAATGAGAAAAAATTGGCCCCCCATAATTTCTTTTTATCCCCCCCCCCTTTTTCCCCCAAAAAAATTCTTTCTCTCAAGATATGGTCATAATCACAATTCAAATTTCCAATGGAGTTGGCAACCTTAATTACCCATTTAAATTAACCATAGTGCTAACTTAATCTTTTTTATAATAGAATTAATAAAAACATAGTGTCAAATCTTTCATATGGATTTTTTTGTAAAAAAAAAAGATGAAAACATTTGCAGATATTTTTACTGGTCTTCCTTTATAAATATGTATTTCTTTAAACATAATTTAAAAGCAGTGTAAGGGAAGTAACCAAAACGTTGTATTTGGATTACCTCCCTTACACTGTTTTAGATTATCTTTATTGTTCATTAACCATTACTTTATACATAATTTAAAAGCAGTGTAAGGGAGATAATTTCAATGATGTATTTGATTTATCTCCCTTACACTGCTTTAAATTATGTTTTGTACTAAAGTATTTGTCCATTAACCAGGACAACCTTGTTTTTCCCCCTTTTTTGCCCCTAATTCCTAAACGGTTTGAGCCATAACCCCCCAAAGCAAATCCTAACCATCCCTTTGTGGTATGGAAACTTGTAGTATAATTTCAGAGAGATCCATACACCGTTCCACAGTTATTGTCTGGAAACTAGAAAATGCTCATTTTTGGCCCCTTTTTGGCCCCTAATTCCTTAACTGTTGGTACCATAACCCCCAAAATCAATCCCAACCTTCCTTTTGTGGTATTTAACCTTATGGTCAAATTTCAAAAAGATCCATTCACTTAAACTAAAGTTAGAGTGCGAAAACCAATATGTATTCGGACGACGACGCTGTAAGACGACGACGACGACGACGCCAACGTCATACCAATATACGACCACAAAATTTTTTTGCGGTCGTATAAAAAGTGTTCTACAATGATCACCAGTCCTTAACCTTTCATTTTGATACCTTAATTACCAAAATATATTCTACATAGTTTGATATTTACACCTATGTGTAGGATTTTTTTTGTTTTAAATATGTACTACTTTCAAGTTTGTTCATTTTGACCGATCCCGATTTGGTGGTGTTACATCTTTCAAAGTCTACCCGAATTATTTTGCAAAGAATTCCGCTCAAACCAGTGCTAGGGACCATCTTAAACTTGCAGTGAGGTGAGAATTTGTTTCCTATGTGTTGAAGGCATCACTGTGTCTTTGAGATGAAGAACAGCAATAAAAGAGCTGTTCCTTTGCTTATGGTGTTTTTTGCTGTACATGTACTGATTTTGTTATCATGGATTGATACCCCATAACACATGTTAGAATAGAGAATTGGAATGGGAAATGTGTCAGAGAGATGACAACTGGACCAAAGAGCAGAAATCAGCCCAAGGCCATCAATGGGTCTTCAATGCAGCAAGTAAATCCTGCACCTGGAAGCGGGCTTCAGCTGGCCCCTAAATAATAATCATGTATACTAGTTAAGTGAAATTGA